GACGTGAGGAACCCGAGTGCACTGAACACGCTACAGCATGTGTCAGAGCTGGGAAACATCAAAGTCCTATCCGTCATACCAGCGAATGGTGACACCGTAACAGGAGTTATCTATGACATAGACACTGAAATCGCCAATGAAGATCTTCCTGTACTGATAAAACCAGTGAGTGAAAACAACGTCATTGTGCATGCTGGTCGCCTAGGCAACTCTCGTTGTGTGCAACTAACATTCAAGGGTGACTGTCTACCCTCTCACGTGAAGGCTGACCATTTCCGTCACCAGGTTCGCCCATTTGTTCCGAAGCTTATGCAGTGTTTGAAGTGCCAGAAGATTGGCCACGTGAAGGGCGTTTGCATAAATTCCGCAGTGTGCCCCCGATGCGCTGAACACCACTCAGACGACGACTGTAATGCAACTACGTTGAAATGCTCCAACTGCCAAGGAGCTCACAGTGCTTCCTCCAAGGACTGTCCTCAGATTAAGAAAGAGATTTATATTCTGAGGCAAATGGTGCGAGACAACTCGACTCACAGAGGAGCTGCGCAAAAAGTAAGGCGAAGGCGCCGTCATCGTCGAAGGTCCTCACGAAGGACAGTGCAAAATCTGACGAGAAAGCCAGAAACTCAAGTGAAATCGACAAGCGCGGCTCCTAGCACGGCAAACATCTGCGCTGAAAGAGAAGATGCTGGAAGATCTCTCTCTCCAAAGGAATGGCCACCCCTTCAGCCTAGACGATCTGTTGAGCCTCAACAGAAGCCGCCTACACGACCTGTTGAGCCTCAACAGAAGCCGCCTCAAGAACAAGCACAAAATGCTGCAACGGCCGGGAAGCCATCGCGTTATGGTGATGGTAAGATCATTAGTGGACACCATTCGCATGTTGTTAAGCGACATGAATACACCGTCAGCCAAAAGTGCCCTTCAAGTACTGGACGCGCTTAGTCCAGTACTAGCAGCCCTAGAGTAGACCATGGCTAACCCACCACTGTCTTTCAGGGATGAGGTTCGTAAAGCAGCAATACTGCAGTGGAATGCCAGGGGACTGAGATCGCGCATTGGTGACTTTCGTCGATTGTGTACGTCAATAGTTTCCCGTAATCATCATTTGTGAGCCGAACCTTTCGAGTGCAATACGACTCTCGGGATACGAACCTTTTAATGTCGTCTACTGTTACTGAAAGCAGCAAGGGTTCTGGTGTACATTCGCCGAGACCTCACTTACATCCTTCAACCTGTACCACCTCATGACGGAAACCAATACCTATGCTTAAGAGTGAAAAAGAGGAGGCTCAACATCACTGTGGTTGGCGCATACCTATCACCATCAAGCCGTTTCGATCAAAAAAGACTACGAGACATCATAGCGTTAACTCCTGACCCGTGTGTTATCATTGGGGATTTTAACGCTCATCATACATTATGGGGAAGTCAGAATACCAACATGAAGGGCAGAAGCTTCGTGTCTTTTGCCTCCGACAACCAACTTTGGTTACTGAACGATGGCAGTCCTACATTTTTAAGTGGCTCCACATACAGTAGCTGTCTCCACTTGGCTTTTGTTTCGCGAAGCCGAGTGAAACATACTGAATGGTTCACGGATATAGAAACGCACGGGAGTGATCACATTCCAACATACGTCAAGATCAGAGGATTGTCACCTCCTAAAGTGCGCGACATGGCTAAAAGAGTGGACTGGAAAAAATTTCAGTCCCGTATGGAAGACCAATGCCAAGAACACATCTCCGATTTACAAGAGGCCATCAAGAACACTGTAAAAGAGACTGTGTGTACGATCCCATGCCCTGTAAGATTCACGGACATCGACATAGAGCTGGAGCAGCTTCGAGCCTTGCGACGACGAGCTGAAAGAAGGTACCGGCGCACGAAGGACATAGAAGATTTACGGACTGCTAGACGTATGCAGAAGAAGATCAAACGTCGGTTGGACAAGCTAGAATTCCAACGTTGGATTACTTTCTGCGAGTCACTCGACCCTCGTAAGCCTTTATCGCAGATATGGAGGACGGTTAGAGGTTTGCGGTCATCGCCCATTAAGAAGTCACCATTCAAGGCCTTAGCCCTTCACCGAAATCGACCAGATGTGGACGTTGCCGAAGAGTTCTGTGCCGGATTATCAGGGCGAACTCCAGCCATCAGCAGCTTACCACTTTCGAGCAGTTGTTCGCCATCACGTGACTCCTGTATGGACGTCACGTTCACCATTCAGGAGCTAAAAGCAGTACTCGCTTCATGCAGACGGACCTCCGCACCAGGACCTGATGGAATCTCCTACAGAGCACTGTGTCATCTGGGTGAGCGCGCGAGAATAGCTATACTTCAGCTATATAATCATCGTTGGCTAGAGGGCACTGTCCCCTTAAGTTGAAAAACTAGTCGTCTAGTACCATTACCAAAACCTGGCAAATCACCATTGGAACTCTCCTCCTTTCGCCCGATCGCATTGGCTAGTTGCGTGGGTAAAGTGATGGAGAGAATGATTCTCGGCCGACTCGAGTGGTACTTAGAGTATCATGAGATCTACCCAAATGCCATGGCTGGCTTTCGACATGGTCGATCATCAATCGATAGCGTCATCGACCTAATCACGTACATTGAACACGAGAAAGGCCATAAGCGTCTTTGCGCCTCTCTGTTCCTTGATGTCAAAGGAGCCTATGATAACGTTACACATGAAGCCGTCCTTACTGCACTAGAAGAGATTGGAGTGGGTGGCCGAAAGTTTAAGTGGATACGCAGTTATGTCCAAATGCGATCCTATTTTGTGAGTACAGAGACCGGGAACACGTCTACACATTTCAGTTGTCGTGGCGTCCCTCAGGGTGGTGTACTGAGCCCCGTGCTATTCAATATAACACTAATCGCTCTCAATACGCACCTACTAAACAATATTTATCTATCAACATACGCTGATGACATCTGCATCTGGACATCTGCGGTAACTCACCTGCAGTTACGAGTGAGAATAGAGAGAGCTGCTACTGCAACTACTTTGTATCTACGCAATCGAGGCCTGGAAATTTCCTCCGGAAAGTGCTCTCTTCTGGCATTTACGCGCAAACCCATGTCGAATTACAGAGTGTCATTTAACGGTCAAAATATACCATATCGTCGATCTCACAAATTTCTGGGTGTCATGGTCTACAGAGACATATCATGGAGCCCTCATGTGTCGTATTTGAAAAAGCGATTGACAGGCATATGCCATCTTTTCAAGTTTCTCGCTGGAAAGACTTCGGAAACGCAGCCTAATGCTATGTTACGACTGTACAGGGTGCTTTTCCTTGGCTTTTTACGATACAGTCTGCCTGCATTATCAAACGCCAGCAAAACAAGCCGACGCATGATACAAAGCGTTCAGGTACAGTTGCTTCGAATATGTCTAGGTCTGCCTCAGGGTGCCTCAACAATGGCGACTGTAGCTATAGCCAAAGACCACCTCGTGCAGGCCCATATTTAAATTGAAGCTTTGAGGACACACATAAGGCATGCGGGCCGGACTCAGCCTCACCACCTAGCCTCTCTACCAGTGGATAGACCTCATACTTCCTTTTGTCGAACAATAACTACACATGGTCACTCCCTACCAACTGGTTTTACGCCCGCGGCGAGACCTTCAATTCCTCCATGGTGCCTCAAACAGCCAGTCATCAACCTGATAATACCAGGCATCCAGAAAAAAACGAGATTTCTCAATACCAGCCCTCAAGCAGCTCGCCTTACTTCTGCTGTACGAGAAGTACCAAGACTGCACCCACGTCTACACCGACGGCTCCGTCCTGCCAAACAGCTCAACAGCGGTGGTAGTTATTCCAACGCACGCCACAACGATCAAATTCAGCACAGCTCATGCAACCCCAACAATGGCAGCAGAGCTTGCAGCGCTTCGCACTGCGCTGCATTTCATTAACGACCAAAGCACGCAATGGTGGACGATTTTCTGCGACTGCAAGGCGGCACTGCAGTCACTTCTGTCAAATCTACGCCGTAGTCACGAGCAGTTGGTATTTGAAACAGCAGAAATGCTACACCATACAACAGAGAAAGGGCACCACGTTATATTTCAGTGGTTGCCAAGCCACTGTGGAATTATCGGTAACGAACGAGCTGATCAAGCTGCCCGTTCAGCCCATACAGAAGACAATGACCAGTCAATACCTCTCTCAAGGACGGACGCTGCTAGGAGGCTCCAAATTCTTGCTCGCCAACGCTCCATGGCTCTTTGGAATGAGCCTCTCTTTACGCATGCAAGATTACAATCCCCTGATCCAACGTTAAGCATGCAGCTTCCAACAAAAATTCGACGAGGCGACGCTACTGCTGTGTGCAGACTATGGTTGGGAGTCGCGTTTACCCGTGCGTACGCGTTCCGCATAGGTATGGCCGACACCGCCGACTGCGCACACTGCGGAGATGAAGAAACAATTCGACATATCCTGTGTGACTGCCCGAAATATAACCTGGAAAGACAACACCTTTCTAATAAACTAAACAGGTTAGATGACCAGCCGCTGTCTGAAGAAAGTATACTGCGCCATCGTCATGACTCATCGTCACTGAAGAAAGCCGTGCAAGTGCTACTGGGCTTCTTACGAACTACTGGCCTGTCGGAACGCCTCTGAGTGGACTGATTTTGTGTGTGCGTGTGTGTCGGTGTTTTTCTCTTATTTATTTTTTAACTCTCCCTTTCTCTTTCAACTTCCTATTCCCCAACTCCAGTGTAGGGTAGCATACCGGATACTAGCATCTGGTTAACCTCCCTGCCTTCCTTTTTTCTCATTTCTCTCTCTCTCTCATAAGCGTTCCTTATCTGTGTATCTATTATGAAATACAAAAACTTTTGAAACTTTGAGACGTGTTACGCGAAAAAAAATGTTACCTGAAACAAGCTGTATTCATAGTTACGTTCCTTCATGACATTTTATAGACATTAAGCTGTCTACAGAGAGATGGCGAAAGAGAGCGAGTCGAGAACTCACCGGCGACGCTGTAGGGCGACGCCTCGGCCATGGCCTCGACGAGCAGCAGTAGGCAGAGGAAAGTCGCGATCCACGCTAGACACTTGTCCATGATGTCCCCGACGACCCGACTGTCAGCCTGCGGAAAGCAACGGCAGAAAAAAGAAAGTTAAACGGGTGCGACGCTCAGAACTCCGGTCGGGAAGCAGCCCGTGGGCGGGGCCGACCCACACGCCCACAAACACGAAAGCGGAAACAGAAGTTGCGTGCAGTGAGGTGCAAGCTGGAAAATACGTCACCGACTGTCACGACCGTATTGCCGGTATGTTCCTTGAATGAAGTTTGAAACATTTCTTTTGTATAGTTTTAGGTTTGTTGCTGGTATTGCCGTAGGAAGGGGCAACCTGGCATTCGCAACTCGAAATCTTTCCTCCTCATCGAGCACCTGATAATGATGATGTTTGATGTTTTATGGCGCAAGGGCCGATTCACGGCCAAAGAGCGCCAGTTCATCTTACTAAAAAATATGGACAATGATTGTGATAAGCGGCTGTATAAGGGCCATAAAATTCCTCGCAGTAAGGCGGGTAAAAACATACAGGTAATAAAATCATGACCATGCCGTGAAAGGTGTGTGTGATGTGAACAGATGACAAAAGTTGGTGATAATAAAAGACGATGGTGGATATGTATGGCAATAGCACAAGTGCCTCACTCGTTCAAACCCTTGCGTCCAAGGGCCGTGAGGCATGTGCTTTTTTGTGTAGCCACCGCAGCAAAAACCTCTCTGGAGAGGTCCCGCTACGGTATGCCCGGGTATATGACATGAAAGCTGTGAATTTCTTTTAAAAACGCTAACAATGAATTATGACTAAAAAGTGGTTCCCTACCGACAAACATTGCAGGGTGTAAAGGTATATGTTGTCGGTAGAGTATTGGAAAATGTTGTTTTCTAATAGTTTCTAAGTGTTTACACTGAATTAACATGTGAAGGACGGTTAAGTATTCCCCACATCTGTCACACAATGGTGGATTGCCACCAGACAAAAGGTGTGTGTGTGTCGTGTATGTGTGTCCTATTCTGAGTCTTGTTAGTGTTACCTCTGTTAGACGCGATTTTGATACTGGTGGCCAATGGCCAAGGTGTGGCTTGATAACGTGTAGTTTGTTTTGTGTGTGTGTATCCCACTTGCTCTGCCAGTAGTCCCTGAGTTTTCGTTTGAGAGACGGCTTAAGATCAAGGACCGGGATTGATGTCGGTGTAACGGCGGTGCTTTCGTGGGCGGATGCAGCAAGCTGATCCGCCATCACGTTGCTTTGAATCTCACGGTGCCCTGGCACCCAGCACACAACAACATGTCTGTTGAGTGTGTAGAGGGTGCATAAAATGGAGTAAAGTGAGACGAGGATAGGGTTTTTTTGTTTTTTAAGACTGTGCAGAGCCGTTACCACACTGAGGGAGTCTGTATAAATTACTGCTTTTTGTATTTGTGATTGTTTGATGTGTTTAGCTGCCACAAGTATCGCGTAAGCTTCCGCTGTGAAGATACTTGTGCCTGGATGTAGAGGGCCAGCATCCGAAAAGGAAGGGCCAACAGCAGCGTAGGACACAGAAGAGTTAGACTTAGAGGCATCTGTGAAAACTCAGGACGTGTGTATTTGTATTGAAGTTCCAAGAAGTATGTTCGAATATGGGCAATAGGCGCATGTTTTGTAACTTCTAAAAAAGACACATCGCAATCTATAGTCTGCCACTGCCACGGTGGCGGGTATGCAACAGGAGCCATTAAACTGTGTTCAAGTGATACTGCAGTTTCTTCAGCTAGACCCTTCAGGCGAACTGAGAAGGGCTGCCTCATTGAAGGCCTGTTTTGAAAAAGAATGGAGCTCGATAAGTCATTAATAGTAGAGTATGAGGGGTGCCTCTTGTCTGCTTTCACCTTAAGGAAATATATAAAGGACATGTAGGTTCTTTGCAGATGAAGGGACCACTCATTTGACTCAACGTAAAGGCTTTCTACGGGGCTGGTGCGAAAAGCACCCGTAGAAAGGCGAATGCCCGAATGGTGCACGGGATCCAGCATCTTCAAAGCACTTTGAGTCGCTGACTGATAAACAATGGCCCCATAATCTAAGCGGGTGCGAATAAGGCTTCTATACAGGTCCATGAGGCATTTCCTGTCACTACCCCACGTAGTACGTGACAACACTTTTATAACATTCATGGCTTTTAAACATTTGTTTTTAAATACTTTATGTGGGGTACGAAGGTCAACTTGTTGTCCAAGATTAAGCCTAAGAATTTATGCTCGGCTTTGACGGACAGTTGTTGCCCGTTCAGTTGAATGTCGGGTTCCGAGTGCATGCCTCTCTTTCGAGAGAACAAGACACATGTGCTTTTTTGTGGGTTAAGGCGAAATCCGTTTTCATCTGCCCATTTGGAGACCTTATTTAAACCAAGCTGAACCTGCCGCTCACACATGGCCAAGTTGCATGACTTGAAGCCAAGCTGAACGTCGTCGACATATGTACAATAGAACATATTGCGAGGGATGGACAAGTGCAAGGAATTCATCTTGACGAGAAAAAGTGTGCAGCTAAGTACACCACCTTGTGGCACGCCTGTTTCCTGGACGAATGTTTGGGAAAGAACCGTGCCCACTCGGACACGGAATGTCCGGTTTGACAGGTAACTTTCGATAATGTGAAACATTCTTCCGCGCACGCCAAGGTGGGACAGGTCTCTTAGAATTCCGAAACGCCATGTTGTATCATAAGCCTTTTCAATATCGAGGAATACAGAGAGAAAATATTGTTTATGGACGAAGGCGTCCCTGATCTCTGCCTCGATACGAACAAGGTGGTCTGTGGTGGATCTACTTTCTCGAAACCCGCACTGAAATGGATCGAGCAAATTGTTTATTTCAAGAAAGTGTACAAGTCTGCAGTTTATCATTTTTTCAAAGATTTTGCACAAGCAGCTTGTGAGTGCAATAGGCCTATAACTGGAAGGTAAGGAAGGGTCCTTGCCCTCTTTCAAAACGGGAATTATAATAGCCTCTTTCCAGGAGTTAGGGATAGTGCCAGAAAACCAGATAGCATTGTACAAACAAAGTAAGGTTTTTCGCGTTTCGATCGGCAGGTTTTTTAACATTTCATAAACGACACGGTCAGAACCTGGGGCAGAAGTACTGCAGGAGTTTAGGGATGTTCGGAGCTCAGCTAGACTGAACGCTTGATTATATGCCTCGTATCCAGTGCATTTGTGTTCGAGTTTCTGCTTTTCTATTCTTGTTCTGTATTTTTGGAAAGTGTCAGTATAGTGGGATGAGCTGGACACCTGTTCGAAGTGTGCACCGAGGAAGTTTGCCTGATCTTCCAAGGTGTCACCCTGAGTGTTTACGAGTGGAAGTGTGTGTACTGTTTTCCTGCTATCCTACCGACCATGTTCCACACTTTAGCTTCCTGTGTGTATGAATTGATCCCTGACGAAAACTTCTGCAACTTTCTCTTCTTGCCTGCCGACGCGTTCGCCTGCCTTGAGACTTTATTTTCTTGAAGGTGTCAAGATTTTCGGCTGTCGGTGAGTTCCGAAGCAGCCTCCAAGCTCTGTTTTGCTGTTTGCGCGCGTTTCGGCATTCAGAGTTCCACCATGGCACACGCCGTTTTCCAGGGTGTCCATTTGTTTGTGGGATGCATTTTGTTGCAGCATCAATCAAAAATGCTGTGAAGTAGTTGACAGCAACATCAATGTTCAAAGTACTTATGTCATTCCAACCTAGACGAGTGATGGTATAAAAGTGTTCCCAGTCGGCTCTGTTTATGAGCCACTTGGGAACACGTGATGGACACTCAGTTACTGTATTTGTGCTCAAAACTATGGGGAAGTGGTCACTTCCGTACAGATTACTGATGACTTTCCACTGGAGTAGGGCACAAGAGATGGGGATACTATGCTTAGGTCTATGGAGGAGTAGGTGTTATTGGCGAGATTATAATACGTTGAGTCTTTCGATTTAGAAGACACGCGCTTGAGGAGAGAAGGAACTCTTCAATCAGTCGACCTCGCGCGTCATACCGAGAGTCACCCCATAGCCTGCTATGCGCATTAAAGTCTCCAAGGAGAACATAGGGCTCCGGAAGTTCATCAATTAAAGAGTGTAAATCACGTTTTTGCAGCTGATAGCTAGGAGGAATGTAGATAGTGCAGATTGTGATCAGTTTATCAAAAAGAACTGCTCGAACAGCCACTGCCTCAAGGGATGTTTGGAGTTGTAAGTGTGTGCATGCAATTCCTTGATTCACAATGATGGCAACACCTCCGGATGATGTCATAGCATCAACACGGTCCTTTCGGAATATAACGTATTTACGGAGAAAATTTGTGTGCTTTGAATTAAGGTGTGTTTCTTGTACACACAGCACTTTTGGTGAGTATTCGTGTAAGAGTTCTTGGATGTCGTCAAGGTTTCTGAAAAGGCCCCTGACGTTCCATTGTATAATTTGAGTGTTCATGGTGAATGTAAAATAGTGCTGTGTGTACGAAAAGCGAGTGGCTGTTTAGACAGAGTTTGACTTCACTTAACAGGGCCGTCACCAGGCCCTGTTATCGGCTTTTTTGTTTTCCTTGGCGCGCTCCAAGGAGCCACGCCGCTCTTTCGGCACCAAGGGTGCCGACGTATCCATTGCCTCCTCGGAGGCACTGGATGCCCGCACGTGCGGGCTGCCAGTTCGAATTTCGGGCCTCACCTGCGGAGGTGAGGCCTTGAGACTGGAGGACTCTGGAGTCTCCGGTCTCTGTTTGGGAGTAGGCGGTGTAGCCTGGGCTACAGCCGCCTTGGGGGCAGGTGCCACAACCACCGGCTCGGTATGCGCGGGCCGAGGGAGTGGCGAGGGCTGGTGCGGCGGTGCCCCCTGACGCGCCGCATCAGCGTATGTAGCTCCATAGAATGGAGCGACTCTTCGCCGTGCTTCCTTAAATGTAATGTTTTCCTTCACCTTCAACGTAATTATTTCTTTTTCTTTTTTCCAGTATGTGCAGGAGCGTGAATATGCGGCATGGTTTCCTTCGCAGTTTACGCAGTGTGGTGGTTGTTTGCAGTTCTCAGACACGTGGCCTAGAACTCCACATTGTGCAC